TGCTGAACTGCAGCCCCAGACACCTCCCCAGCCTAAGAGAGGGCCCAGGGCCTGGAGAAGGGCGGGCACACACAGCCTTTGCCTCCCCAGGTGCCTGCAGAACAATGGGACCCGGAGCTGCCCCAACTGCCGCCGTTCATCCATGAAGCCTGGCTTTGTGTGACTTCCAGCACAGCCTGGGCTTGTGCCTCGCCTGCTCCTGCCCCTTCTCTTTCTCCACCATCTCACTGGAGACCCCCTTACTCCTGGGGCAGCTGCCAGGGCTCCCTGGGCCTGCCGCCACTGCTCCTCTGGGCCTGAATGCCCTCCTCGCCTCTTTGTACTTTGCTCTTTATAGAAAAATAAACCATTTGTACCAGGTCCCAGCGATTCTAACTTTTCTTGCCCGGGACTGAGGGGTGGGGAGAGTGGGAGTGAGGTGGCCACGTGGGCTTCATCGGATTCCCATACCTTCCCTGGTATATATGAGGTGCCACTACCTCCCAGAACTTGGGACGTGGCAGTGAACCAGAGAGGAGAGATCTCTGCAGTGAGAGACTGACATGCAGGTGTGGGGAGGGGGAGTCTGCTGGAAGTAAATGCAAATACATGGTGGGAGGGCAGCAGGTGGTGCCATGGGTCCCACGTGGCCAGCCACAGGGTTCGAGTCCTAGACCTATAGCTTGAAGAACATGCTGGGTGCATGTGTGTGTGTGTGTGTGTGTGTGTGTGTGTGTGTGCTCAGAATCCCCAGAGAATGGAGAAAGGATTGCATTGTGGCTCTCTTTGTGGGGGGGCGGGATTTCTCACTTTTCTTCTCTCTACCTGGGAGTGCAAGCACCCTATAGCAAAACTAAAAACAACAAACAAGCACATGGAATGTCTTCTAGAAGGTCGTTACGAGCTTCAGTGTGTTCCCCCCAATTCATGTGTTGAACTTTGGTCCCTTCAGGCTGCTGTAACAGAATACCGCAGACTTGGAGCTTATAAACAACAGGATCCTCACAGTTCCACGGGCTGGGGAGTCCCAGAGCAGGGTGCAGCAGATCCCACGTCTGGTAAGGGCCTGCTGCCAGGGTTCATGGCTGGCGTCTTCTCTACTCGCACAGCAGTGAAGGAGGCAGGATCTCACATGGCTGCCTTCACAGTTCGAGTCCCAGACCCGGTGGCTTGAAAAACAAGCTGGGTGCATGTGAATGTGTGCCCAAGAACCCAGAAGGAGAGATGGAGGAGAAGGGATTGTGGCATGGCCATGCCCCTAGTGGGTGCTTTCTCGCCTTCTGTCTTTCTGTCTGTCTCTGGTGAGCACATGTACCCTCTAGCAAAACTGAGGAAAAACAAACAAACAAAAACAAGGTGAGCCTTTGATACAGTGACTGCCTTGAGCCTGTAAAGGAAACTGAAAGGATGATGAAGATAACACGAAAGGACACAGGCTAGGGCTAGCCCTTAGCTGGCGGTTAGGGCAGCTAGGTCCCACATGGTTGACTGTGCCGTTTGTGTCCTGGACCCGTTGACTTGAAAACCACACCAGGTGCATGTGCGGGCATGCCCAGAATCCTGAGGGGAATGTAGGGAAGGGAAGGGATTGCAGCGTGGCCATCCCCTCCAGGGCGTGTGTTCTCCCTCCGTGGGTCACTCTTTCTCTCTCTGGTAAGTGCACATACCCTAGAGCAAATTGTTTAAAAAAGGACTTAATAGGGGCCAGCAGTTAGCATAATGGCTATGTCACTGGATTCCCATGTAGCCGACCACGTTTTGAGTCCCGGACCCGGTGGCTTAAACTCACACCCGGCATGTATGCGTGCGTGCCCAAGATCCCAAGAGGAGAATGGAGAAGGGATTGCGGCGTGGCCATCCCCCCAGGGGGGGGGTGATTTCTTGTTTTGGCGTGGTGGTTAAGGCGCTGGACATTCCCACATGGCCGACCATGGTTCAAGTCCTGGAACTGGTGGCTTGCTTTCTCACTTTCTCTCTCTCTCTCTCTCTGGTCAAATTAAAATAAACAAACAAATAAATAAAGTTAAATAAATAATTCTTTTTTTTTTAAAAGGGACTTAATAAAAAGCATTAGAAGCCAAAGTTTGAGTCTGAGGTGGAGCCCTGTGTTACAAAGGGCATCGCTAGGACAGCTGGTGACACTTGAATGGAGTCTGAGTGTTAGATGGGGAACATACTGATGCTAACTTCCTTTTTTCTTTCTTTTTTTTAAGGTTTTTGCCATAGAGTGTGTGCACTTGCTGGAGAGAGACAGCGAGAGAGAGAAAGAGAAATAATCCCTCATGGGGCATGGCCATGCCTCAATCCTTTCTCTTCCATTCTTCTCTTGGGATTTTGGGCATGCACGCACGAGCACCCAGCGTGAGTTTCAAGCTGCCAAGTCCAGGACTTGAGCCGTGGTTGACCACGTGGGAGTCCAGAGCCTTAACCAGTACGCCACCTGCTGCCCCCGATGTTAACTTCCTGGAGTATAGGCTGTGCTCTGGTCAGTGGAGTGTCCTTGGTTGCAGGAAACGTGCACTAAGTATCCACGGTGATGCCGTAGCAGGTCAGCAACTTACTCTCAGTGGTTCGAAGGAAAAAGTTACCTGTATTATACTTGAAATTTTTCTGAGTTCAATCTTGTTTTCAAAAATAAATATAATTTTATAATAGAGTAGAAGAGTAAATAAGGGGATAGGGAGGGTGGGATGATTGGGCAGGGACGGGCAGGTTGTGCTTTTAGACCAGTGTGGCTGGGGCTGGGGTCCTGACAGTAGTGCACCAGAAAAGCAGGATGTTCAGTGAGGCCGAGCCTCGTGAGAAGGGCCCGGGTCCAGGTCTACATCTGGAGACTGCCCTCGGTATCCTGGGCACACGTGCGCCGTGACCTGAGCTAGCTGAGGCCGCGGGTGTGGGGTGCACTGCAGCGTCAAGACCCTGTTAGGAGTTCTCGCTCTTACTCTTGAAAGAAAGAAATAAACTTTAAAAATACCTGTCTCGGGAAGCAGCAGTTAGCGTAATGGCTATGTCGCTGGACTCCCACGTAGTCGACCGCGGTTCGTGTCCCGGACCCGGTGGCTTAAAATTCATGCTGGGCGTGTGTGCGTGCGTGCCCAAGATCCCGAGAGGAGAATGGAGGAGAAGGGATTGCGGCGTGACCATCCCCCCTGGGGAGTGATTTCTCGCTTTCTGTCTCTATGTCTCTCTCTGTCTGTCTGGTGAGCGCACGCGCCCTACAGTGAAAATCTCTCCAAAAAAAAAAAACAAAAAAACACCTGTCTCAGGCCAGCAAGTGGCATGGAGGTTAAGGTGGCTGTATCCCACATGGTTGACTTCACAGTTTGAGTCCCGGACCAGGCAGCCTAAACACATGCACGTGTCTGTCTTTGCCCAAAATCTTGAGAGGGTGATTTCTCACTCTCTCTCTGGCAAGTGCACACACCCTATAGCAAACAACAAAAAAAAAAAATTAAAGAATGAAGAAGCAAGAAATCTATCTCTGCCACTCTCTTCTTCTCTCTCTTCCTTTTTCTCTCTCTCATAAAAGAAATAAGCGGGAGGGACCAGCAGTTGGCATAATGACTATGTTGCTGAACTCCCATGTAGTGGATCGCAGTTCGAGTCCCGGACCTGGCAGCTTAAACTCACTCCGGGTGTGTGTGCGTGCATGGCCAAGATCCTGAGAGGAGATGGAGGAGAAGGGATTGTGGTGTAGCCATCCCCACTAGGGGGTGATTTCTTGCTTTCTGTCTCTATGTCTGTCTCTGTCTGGCGAGCGCACGCGCCCTATAGCAAAAATCTCCCTTAAAATAACAATAATAAATCAATAAAGGGTGGGCCTCATTGCAAAGGGGACATTTATTTAAGCAAAGACTTGAAGGAACTGAGGAGTGGACCAAGGACAGAGCCTTGAAAATGCAATCTAGGAGAACCAGCAGTTAGCGTAGTGGCTATGTCACTGATCTCCCATGTAGCTGACCGCCGTTCAAGTCCCAGACCCAGTGGCTTAAACTTACGCTGGGCACGTGTGCGTGCGTACCCAAGATCCCGAGAGGAGAATGGAGGAGAAGGGATTATGGCGTGGCCATCCCCCCAGGGGGTGATTTCTCGCTTTCTGTCTCTCTGTCTCTGTCTTTCTGGCGAGCACGCGCCCTATAGCAAAAACCTCTCAAAAGAAGAAAATGCAATCTGGGAAAAGGGTTCAGAGCCCTAACACAAGAGCCTTCCTGACCCATTCAAGGAGGGAGGAGGCCTGTCACTGTGAGCAGGGGAGTAGGCGGTGGGGACAGAGGAGACTGAGGGATCAAAAACTTGTAGGGCCACTGCGAGGACTTTGTCGTTGCTCTGAGCAAGCTGGACAGCTGCAGCAGGGTTTGGAGCAGGGGTGACATGATCTGCCTGGGTTTTGCAAGAATCCCTCTGGTTGCTATGTTGACAACAGAACAGACACAAAACAACTGGCCTGGATGTTTCAAAAATGTCGAGGCTCTGAAAGCCCAACAAGGTTAGAGGCTGTTCTAGAATGAACAAAACGAAAGAGACATGACCACTAAATGTAATACGAGCCCCTTAACTTGCTATCGGTTTCGTTTGTTTGGTTTTGCTATAGAGTGCGTGTGCTCATAAGAGAGAGAGGGGAGGGAAGAAGGCACCCCCGGTGGAGAATGACCACGCCATAGTATCTTCTCCGTCCTCTCCTTAGGATTGTATTTTCCCTTTGGGAGATATTTCCTATGGGGCATGGGTACTCTCCAGAGAGACAGAAAGAGACAGAGAGAAAGAAAGCAAAAAGTCACCCCCCTGGGGGAATGGCCACAAGGCAATCCTTTCTCCTCCATTCTCCTGTCAGGATCTTGGGCATGCATGCGCCCGCGCGCGCACACACACAGAGGCAGCTGACCTGAGGGTTTTTTTAATTATTATTTAATTATATTTATTATTATTTTTAAAAATTTGCTATAGGGCAACATGTATTTACCAGAGAGAGAGAAAGAGAAAGCAAGAAAAGAAGCCACCAGGTCTGGGACTCAAACTGCGGTCGGCCATGTGGGAGTCCAGCACCTTAACCATCATGCCACCGGCTGGGCCCTGGCTTGAGTTTTTTAAATCGCTGGATCCAGGACTCAAACTGTGGTTGACTATGTGGGAGTCCAGTGACATAACCATTATGACATAACCATTATGGCATCTGTGGGCTCCTCCATGCTTTTTCACACCTGTTACCCCACTTAGTATTCACCAGAACTCCGTGTGGTGGGTGTGAGGGCCTCTGCGTTTCCCACAGGTCCAGGGAGAAGCTCCGACTTGCCCAAGGTCACATGGCACAGCTGGGCTTGGCTTCTCTGTACCCTTTCCCTCCCCCGGGAGCCCTGGGATGTAATGAGGTCCCCAGTTCCTCCTCATCCTAGCTCCAGCTCTCCTCATGCAACTTCCTGACCCCGTGTCCCACCCTGCTCTAGGCCTGGCCTAGGCCTCTTCTTCTCTAGAAGCCCAGGTGGGCCTGAGGCCATGCTGTGCCCTGGGCTCTCTGCTCCTGTGGGGGCTGATCTTCTGGTGCCTCCTTGATCTCCTAGAACAGCTTGAACCTTCATAAACTGTCTTCCTGTTCCTTCCATCTTGCCCAGGATATCCTTGCTCCTGGGCCCCAAGACAGTATCTGTCCTCAGGCCGGGACCAGAAAATGGAACTTCAGCTTAGATTTTGATGTGCCCCCATCTTCCCCGGCAAATTTATGTGTTCAGATTTGACTGTGATGGGATCAAGAGGGGGAAAAAGTTATCCTTCTACTATGTTGAGAGGAGAGGCCTTTGGCGGATGGGCAGGATTAGATGAGGGTATCAGGGTAGGACCCATGATCGGCTCCTGGTGGCTATGTGAGAAGTAGGTCTCAGACATGACACACATGTTCTGCTCTTACTCTAACTCGCCATGTCATGTCCCGGGCCACTCCGATGTCCCCCATGCGTCAGATGCAGCCCCTTGACCTCGGATCCCCCAACTGTGACCCAAAGAAATCTCTGCTTTTTGTACATGACCCAGTGTGGTGGTTAGTGACAGAAAAGCAGACAAACAGTCCTTAATATGGCATTGGGGAGGTTCTGCTGATGGCATGGTGGTTAAAGTAGCTGTTCCCATGTGGCTGACAGTGCAGTTCAAGTCCCAGATTGCTGATTTGGAAAACACCCCAGGTGTGTGTACGTGCCCAAACTCCTGAGAGGAGAGTGGAAGAGAAGGGATTGTGATGTGGCTACCCATTCTGGGGAGTGATTTCTCACTTTCTCTCTCGCTATCTCTGTCTTTCTCTGGTGACTATGCATGCCCTATGGCAAAAACCTCTTAAAAAAAAAAAAAAAGGAATGAACTGGAGGGGCCAGCAGATAGCATAGTGGTCGTGTTGCTTGATTCCCACATGGCTAACCACAATTTGAGTCCTAGACCAGTTGGCTTGAAAATTACGCGGGGTGGGAGGACCATCAGGTGGTGTAATAGTTATGTCACTGGACTTCTACGTAGTTGGTGGTTTGAGTCCCTGACCCAGCAGCTTAAAACTCGTGCCTGGCACATATGCATGTGTGACCTAAATCCCAATAGGAGAATGGAGGAGAAGGGATTGCGGTGTGGAGGGATATTTATTATTTTTTAAATATTTAAAAAAAAAAAACCCTCAGGCCAGCCATGTGTATGTGTGTGTGTGTGCCCAATAGCAAAAATCTCCCTTAAAAAAAAAAGAAAGAATGGGAACCAGCAGTTAGCGTAATGGCTATGTCGCTGGACTCCCACGTAGTCGACCGCGGTTCGTGTCCCAGACCCGGTGGCTTAAAACTCACGCCGGGCGCGTGTGCGTGCGTGCCCAAGATCCCGAGAGGAGAATGGAGGAGAAGTGATTGCGGCATGACCATCCCCCCTGGGGGGTGATTCCTCGCTTTCTGTCCCTATGTCTCTCTCTGTCTGGCGAGCGCACGTGCCCTATAGCGAAAATAAAAATCTCTCCATAAAAAGAAAAAAATAAAATAAAATCCCAGGAAGGGAGTAGAGGAGAAGGGATTACAGCCTGACCATTGCCCCTGGCATGTGATTTCTCACTTTCCCTTTTCTTTATTTTTTTCTTTTTTTGAGAGGTTTTTCACTATAGGGCACGTACACTCGCCAGACAGACAAGAGACAGAGAGACAGAAAGCGAGAAATCACCCCCCAGGGGGGATGGTCATGCCGCAATCACTTCTCCTCCATTCTCCTCTCGGGATCTTGGGCATGCACGCACATGTGCCCGGCGTGAGTTTTAAGCCACCGGGTCTGGGACACGAACCGCGGTCGACTACGTGGGAGTCCAGCGACATAGCCATTACGCTAACTGATGGTTCCCTCACTTTCCCTTTCACTGTCCCTCTCTGGTGAGTGCATACACCCTATGGCAAAAACCTCTAAAAACAAACACAAAAAAAAGAGCTGGAGGGTCCAGCAGGTGGCATGATGGGTGGTTAAAGCACTGGATCCCACATGATGGACTCTGCTTTGAGTCCAGGACCAGGTGGCTTGAAAACCATGCTGGGCACCTGTGCGTGCATGCCCAAAATTCCACAAGGAGAATGGAGGAGAAGGGATTGCACCATGGCCATTCCCCTGGGGAGTGCTTTCTCACTTTCCCTCTCCCAGCGACACACAGGCCTTCTAGCAAAATAAAAAAAAAAAAAAAGAAAAAGAAAAAAAGAAAGAAAGGGAGGAAGAAAAAGAAAGAAAGAGAAGAAAGAAATGTCTGCACTTTGGGGGCTGGCAGGTGGCACCGTGGTTAAGGGTGCTGGACTTCCATATGGCCGACTGTGGTCCAAGTCCCAGACCCGGTGACTTGCTTTCTCACTCACTCTCTCTCTGACCCTCTCTGGTCAAATTAAAATAAATAAAATTCAATAATTTTTTTTAAAAGAAAAATGTTTTCATTTTAAAGAAAACCACTGTACAGATTTCCACCAAGTTTAGAGGGTATTTGTGACGGTTTGGCTTAAACTGTAAGCTATGTAAGGCCAGTAGGTGGCATGGTGCTTAAGGTGCTGGATCCCAAAGAGCTGGTTCTGCATTTGGAGCCCTGGACTGGTGCCCTGAAAAAGACGCCAGGCACAAATGCGAGTGTGTGTGCCCAAAATCCCAAGAGGAGAATGGGGGAGAAGGTATTGTGGAGTAGCCATATCCTGGGGGGTGGGGGGATAACTCACTGTCTCTCTCTTTGGCCAAGGCAAGTGCCCTATGGCAAAAAACAAACAAAAACAAACAAACAAACAAAAAACTGCGGAAAAAAAAAATATGTGTGTGTGTGTGTGTGTGTGTGTGTGTGTGTGTGCGCGCGCGCGCGCGCGCGCACGCGTATATAGCAGCGACATAGTTTTCACAAGCTCATTCCAGGGAGCTTGTCGGTTTTACCATAAAGTGGTGAGGTGGGGAGGTCCTCCAGCGCAGTAGACACAGGTCCAGGACCTGAGTCTCTTGTGATCCGGAGAGATCCGTCCTGCTCACTGAGCTAACTAACCGTGGAGAAAACAAATGCCCGCCTACGTAAGTGATGTTTTCGTGTTCAGCTGTAGAGTCTGGTTGCCAGCTGAACTCGTCGCACGTGGAAGTTTGGCGGAGCCTGCGCTGACGTTAGTTGCAGCAGTGATTTCTCGCTTTAGTACTGGCTAATGATTCTGCCCGGTAACCCTGCGTGGCTAGCTTAAACTTAAATACATAATAATCATAAAAATGCGGCCGGGGGTGGCAACCTCTTTTTTTTTTCCTCCTTTGGACATGGCTGGCAACCGTCGTTTATGATTTGGGAGGCAGTGCCACTGTGCAAGTACCCTCATTCTCAGAGGTCCAGAGTCTGAGATCGAACGCGCCCCTTCCAAGCGCTTTTTCAATTAAAACTACATTTCCCAGGGGCCCTCGCGCCCCCAGCTGGCTCCTCCCCTCCGGGTCCACGCTAGGTTCCGCCTTCGCCGCGCGCCGGCCGGTAGGCCCCGCCTCTCGCGCCTGGTAACTACCGCCTCTCGCGCCTGGTAACTACGGGCTGGGGGCGGGGCCTGCGGCCCGGGCTTCGTCTTTCGAGTCGGAGGAGCAGATTCGCCGTGGGCCCGGCTGGGACTGACGCGGTCCAGAGTCAGCGTGTGCGGGAAAGGCTCGCCACTCCTCGAGAGAAGACGTTAGGAAAGACGGCGTTCACCTCCCGCCGCGGCTCCTGCCCGGCCCCAGCTTTGGCCTTCTCCGCCAGGAAATGAATCTGCTGCCGACCCTGGAGAGTCCAGTGACTCGGCAGGAGAAGATGGCGACCGTGTGGGATGAGGCCGAGGTGGGCTCCGGGGCCAGCGGGCGGGAGCCGGTGGCGGGAGGGAAGGCGGTGGCGGGGGTCAGGGGCCTGCCTGATCGCAGGGACGGGACCGCTCGGGATGTGGGCAGCGTCTGAGCCCTTCATCTTGGTTTTATGGGCGCGCAAACCGAGGCTGTGAGGAGGCTCGGAGAGCGCGGGATGCCTGCCCGAGGAAAGGTAAACAAATGTAAGTGCTTTGATTTTTTTTTTTTTTTTTTTTGTAACAGCAAGATGGAATCGGGGAGGAGGTGCTCAAGATGTCCACAGAAGAGATCATTCAGCGCACGCGGCTGCTGGACAGCGAGATCAAGGTGGGCGCCCGACCCTGACCTGGACGGTCGCGTCTTCTGCTGCTTTTGGGCCTTCCTGCGGGGAGGCATGGGGCCTGCGGCTTCCTTCACCGACCAGGAAAACAGGAAGAAAATCAAGCCATCAAATGGGCAGGAAGAGGGTCAGGGTGGTGGAAGACCAGGTCTGAGATGAGGTGTCACCAGCCAGCCTTTCCCAAGGAGGGCTTTAAGTTTTCCTCTCCAGATCCCTTACAGATGAGGAAATCCCTATCCCTCGCTTAGAGACAGAACCTAAAACCTTAGTTTCTCTGACTCAAAGGCCTGTCTGTTTCCCCCGGTACATCAGCTCCTTGATGAGAGCTTTCCGAATCCGCCTCTTAAGTTCTGTCTTCGACTAGATGTGGACACAGTCAGGCTGGGCCTTCAGAGAGCCTTAGAGCTGGGTGAACAGACCCAGGAGGGTCCCCTGGACCGCCTAGACCTCACTGATGACAAGGCACTAGCGTAGGTGATCCAGGCTTAACATGGCTTCTACCCACCCTCATCCCAGATCATGAAGAGTGAAGTGTTGCGGGTTACCCATGAACTCCAAGCCATGAAGGACAAGATCAAAGAAAACAGCGAGAAAATCAAAGTGAACAAGACCCTCCCGTACCTCGTCTCCAACGTCATCGAGGTGTGTGTGTATGTGGAGGGGAAGAGATGGCGTCACTGGGGCCATCAGGGAAGAGTAGGTGGAGGTTTTGAAGCCAAACTCTGTGTTAGGGCTGCATATCACGCGGTTGTCACCCTAGCATGCACTTCTGGCAGGAGACGTGGGGCTTGAAAAGGCCTTGAAGTCTTACATGTCTCCTTTTCTGTTGCTCGTTCTTCTGGGAGGTGGGAGGTCAATGAAATCTGTGCAGAGAAGCAGCACCAAAACAGATCTTAGAATCCCATGACTTGGGACCAGCAGTTAGCGAAATCGCTATGTCGCTGGATTCCCATGTGGTCGACCGTGGACCCGGTGGCTTAAAACTCACGCCAGGCGTGTGTGCGTGCGTGCTCAGGATCCCGAGAGGAGAATGGAGGAGAAAGGGATTGCAGTGTGGCCATCCCCCCCGGGGAGTGGTTTCTGGCTTTCTGTCTCTCTTTCTCCGTCTGTCTGGCGAGCGTATGCACCTTATGGCAAAAACCTTTCCCCCCCCCAAAAAAAAATCTAAAAAAAAAAAAAGTAACCTAGAATCCCATGGCTTAGTGACCACACTTTCGCTGGGCCCAGGGCTACTGTGTGGAGTGAGGAAGGGATGTTCAGCCCTGTGAGCCTCGAGAATTCGAGAATTGTTTAGCTCTCGGAAGCTCTGGTCTCTGGGGAGTTCCAGGGGCTGAGCCTTTTCTCTTCCCAGCTACTGGATGTTGATCCCAATGACCAAGAGGAGGATGGTGCCATATTGACCTGGACTCTCAGAGGAAGGTCAAGTGTGCAGTGATCAAGACTTCTACACGGCAGGTGAGGCTGGCTCGGTAAAAGGAGAGCAGAGGTGGGTGTAGTGGGCCTTCCTGCGGGGAGGCATGGGGCCTGCGGCTTCCTTCACCGACCAGGAAAACAGGAAGAAAATCAAGCCATCAAATGGGCAGGAAGAGGGTCAGGGTGGTGGAAGACCAGGTCTGAGATGAGGTGTCACCAGCCAGCCTTTCCCAAGGAGGGCTTTAAGTTTTCCTCTCCAGATCCCTTACAGATGAGGAAATCCCTATCCCTCGCTTAGAGACAGAACCTAAAACCTTAGTTTCTCTGACTCAAAGGCCTGTCTGTTTCCCCCGGTACATCAGCTCCTTGATGAGAGCTTTCCGAATCCGCCTCTTAAGTTCTGTCTTCGACTAGATGTGGACACAGTCAGGCTGGGCCTTCAGAGAGCCTTAGAGCTGGGTGAACAGACCCAGGAGGGTCCCCTGGACCGCCTAGACCTCACTGATGACAAGGCACTAGCGTAGGTGATCCAGGCTTAACATGGCTTCTACCCACCCTCATCCCAGATCATGAAGAGTGAAGTGTTGCGGGTTACCCATGAACTCCAAGCCATGAAGGACAAGATCAAAGAAAACAGCGAGAAAATCAAAGTGAACAAGACCCTCCCGTACCTCGTCTCCAACGTCATCGAGGTGTGTGTGTATGTGGAGGGGAAGAGATGGCGTCACTGGGGCCATCAGGGAAGAGTAGGTGGAGGTTTTGAAGCCAAACTCTGTGTTAGGGCTGCATATCACGCGGTTGTCACCCTAGCATGCACTTCTGGCAGGAGACGTGGGGCTTGAAAAGGCCTTGAAGTCTTACATGTCTCCTTTTCTGTTGCTCGTTCTTCTGGGAGGTGGGAGGTCAATGAAATCTGTGCAGAGAAGCAGCACCAAAACAGATCTTAGAATCCCATGACTTGGGACCAGCAGTTAGCGAAATCGCTATGTCGCTGGATTCCCATGTGGTCGACCGTGGACCCGGTGGCTTAAAACTCACGCCAGGCGTGTGTGCGTGCGTGCTCAGGATCCCGAGAGGAGAATGGAGGAGAAAGGGATTGCAGTGTGGCCATCCCCCCCGGGGAGTGGTTTCTGGCTTTCTGTCTCTCTTTCTCCGTCTGTCTGGCGAGCGTATGCACCTTATGGCAAAAACCTTTCCCCCCCCCAAAAAAAAATCTAAAAAAAAAAAAAGTAACCTAGAATCCCATGGCTTAGTGACCACACTTTCGCTGGGCCCAGGGCTACTGTGTGGAGTGAGGAAGGGATGTTCAGCCCTGTGAGCCTCGAGAATTCGAGAATTGTTTAGCTCTCGGAAGCTCTGGTCTCTGGGGAGTTCCAGGGGCTGAGCCTTTTCTCTTCCCAGCTACTGGATGTTGATCCCAATGACCAAGAGGAGGATGGTGCCAATATTGACCTGGACTCTCAGAGGAAGGGCAAGTGTGCAGTGATCAAGACTTCTACACGGCAGGTGAGGCTGGCTCGGTAAAAGGAGAGCAGAGGTGGGTGGAGTGGATGCAGGGCAGGACCAGGGGGCCTTACCGAGGACAGTAGCTGAGACTGCACCTGTCATCCATCCTATAGACGTACTTCCTACCTGTGATTGGGCTGGTGGATGCTGAGAAGCTGAAGCCAGGGGACCTGGTGGTAAGTAGAACCTCAGCCCAGGCAGGGCTTTTCCAGAGATTTCTCTCACCAACTAGCTGCGCCCTTACATCAGCCATAGGTCGCTGTTGGCTCTGAATCTCAGTAGAGTAGCCCAGAGACTCTGGGACTCTGTCTGCTTGCTCTTCAATTCCTGTATTGTTCAGGCCTGAATTTTTCCTCTCACTCTGTAGATACCTGTCACATAGCCAATTAAAGGTAGGCCTTGAGCCGGGGCAGATCTGAAGGTGCTGTGCTGTGTCCTCAGGGTGTGAACAAAGACTCCTATCTGATCCTGGAGACCCTGCCCACAGAGTACGACTCGCGGGTGAAGGCCATGGAGGTGGACGAGAGGCCTACAGAGCAATACAGTGACATCGGGGGCCTGGACAAGCAGATCCAGGAGGTGAGGGAGGCACAGCGCCTGTCTGCAGCCTCACCAGCCTTCCCTTTCTCCACTCCACTGACTGGAGCATACCTTCCTAACGTGCCTATTATTCTTACAGGATCCTAGGGAGGGAGGGCCAGTGAAATCGAGTGATTGCACAGGATCATAAAAAGTTGGGGCCAGAGCCAAGAATGCAACTCAGGCTTCTGGTTCCTGGCCCAGTGTCTGTCTCCATGTCCTGCTGTTCCTAGAGAGGCCATAGCCAGTCTCTATGGGCATGCACATTCTCTGTCCTCGTGGGGGAAGGAGAGGGCAGTGCCCCCGAATTGGAGTAGGAGGAGTGCACATTAGAGTGAAGCCGTTGTGTGTTGGGCTGTAGGAGCCCTCAGGGCTTCACTCTCCTCACTCGGCTTCTCCCTGGCAGCTGGTGGAGGCCATTGTCCTGCCAATGAACCACAAAGAGAAGTTTGAGAACTTGGGGATCCAGCCTCCGAAGGGGGTGTTGATGTACGGGCCTCCAGGTACGGGGAAGACCCTACTGGCCCGGGCCTGCGCAGCACAGACCAAGGTGAGCACTCGGGAAGGATGAGGAGGCAGTGGGCGGGAGCCAAGGTTCTGCAAAACAGGCTCCAGGGCCTCTCGTGCCTTCTGCCCAACTGCCTCCTGCCCCCACAGGCCACCTTCCTAAAGCTGGCTGGCCCCCAGCTAGTACAGATGTTCATTGGTGACGGTGCCAAGCTGGTCCGGGACGCCTTCGCCCTAGCCAAGGAGAAAGCTCCGTCTATCATCTTCATTGATGAGCTGGATGCCATCGGCACTAAGCGGTGAGGGAGTGCTCCATGCCCCCCGGGATCTGCACAGCAGGGTGCTTGCCTCTCACTTGTGCTAAATCCTAGCATTTCCCTCCCTGTCCCCTCCCTAGGGGCAACGGCTCCTCTACTCCTGTGGCTCTGTGTCCTGAATTCTTTCTTTTGAAGAGGTTTTTTTTTTTTTTTTTTTTTTTTTTTTTTAGGGGCGTGCAGCCTCCCAAAC